TGCTTTTTGTTAATTGGCACATTCACTTTGGCCAAACAATCACAAGTGCGCAAATATAAGAGATTTAATCTTTTCTTTTATCATTCCTCAAATTGTGTGATTTCTTTATTTTTTATAGGAACTCTATTTAGGACATGACATGATATCAAAAATAGCCTCACCCCACCATTCCTTAGATAGACCCGCTGTCTCCAACATGGCGTTAACCAACTCAGTTAGAGTGTGGTTCTTTCTTTCAGCAATCCCATTGGACTATGGTGAATATGACAGTGTCCTCTCATGAATAATTTCATGTTCTACACAGAAATCAGAAATTTATCTTGAAAACTATTCTCCACCACGATCAGACCTTAATCATTTTACTTTCCTCTCAAGTTGATTTTCTACTTCATATTTATAGATCTTAAAGTAATGCAACGCTTTATCTTTTATTTTTAACAGTACACATAGCAAAATCTACTACAATCGTCTATAAAAGTTTTGCCACCTTTAGTCAATTCACCATTCACCTCGCATAGATCGGAATGGACTAGTTCTAATGGCACCAAGTTCCTCGCCTCCACAGCCTCATGAGGCTTACGATGTTGCTTAGATTGCACACACACATGGCACTTAGAACCTTTGACCAAATTAATTTTCAGGATTAAATTCATATTTGCAAGCTGCGATAGGCGACCAAAATTAACATGACAAAGACGTGAATGCCAAATATTTGACTCATCAGGGATAATAGCATTGTTCACAATCTTATTACACACATCATCATGTAAGGATAAGCGGAACAAGCCTCCGCAATCATAATCTTTACCAACAAAAGTTTCGTACTTTGACAGTACATATTTATTGGACTCGAAGATAATTTTATAACCATCTCGACAACATTGAGAGCCACAAACTAGATTCTTTTTTATGGAGGGGATATGCTACACGTTCTTCAACAGCCCCGTCTTTCTCGAAGTGAACTTCAGAATGACCGTACCAACATCAAGAACACGCGCATGGGACCTGTTCCCCATCAGCAAGACTCCAGTCCCGCTGACCTGATAAGAAGAAAATAAAGAGGCATTAACACACACATGAATATTAGCCCCAGTGTTCATCCACCACTCAGGCGAATGACAAACTGAAAGAACAGTAGGTAAAAAATTATCATGCCCAGATGTTTCTCCTTCAGCCTCGCTAACAACCATGTTTGCAGATTTCTTCTCTTGCTTAAATTTACGATCCGGGCATGAACTTGTCCAATGCTCATCACTCCCGCAAATAAAGCAACCACCATCTTTGTTGTTCTTTTTCTTCTTAAAAGTGGTTGCTTGTTTAGGCTTCGAGTAGTTCTCTTGCTTGTTCTTCTTCTTATTATTACAAGATGCATTTGAATTTTTCTTCTGCACCATATTGACACTAGAAGACTCAACGCCTTTCCTATGCGTGTCTTTTGCTCTCGCCCTCTCCTCAACATCAAGAGACCCAATAAGCTCAGCCACGCTAAACTCTTGTCTCTTGTGTTTTAGAGAGGTAGCAAAATCTCTCTAAGAAGGTGACAACTTAGCGATTATACCGCCGGCCACAAACTTGTCGGGCAACACACATGAGAACTGTTTGAGTTCCTTAGCCAGTGGTTGTATCTCATGAGCTTGTTTGACCACAGAATGGTTGTCAACCATCTTGTAGTCAAACAGCTGCTCCATAAGGTACAACTCGCTACCGACGTCAGAAACACCAAACTTAGCATCAAGTGTATCCCATAATTCCTTGACTGACGTGGAACGAAGGTAGCTGTCCTCATACTTCACTAAACTTAGCATCAAGTGTATTCCATAATTCCTTGCCTGACGTGTAACGAAGGTAGCTGTCCTCATACTTGCTATGAAGTGTATTAATCACGGCATCTCGAAACAGGTTATCAGCTACCTTGAACTTTTCCTTCTCAGGAGTAAATTGTTCAGGTTTCTCCTGTGCGGCGTGATAGCAGTTCATAGTAATAAGCCACAGCACCATCTTAGCACGTCATGACTTGTAATTTATTCCATCAAAATTATTTGGCTTCAAAACAGCAGCAAAACCACTAACATAAAATTGTCTAATATCAGGTTTTTTGGATTGTTAGAAATTTAGGTATTTTCATGTTAAAATTAATCCAAAAAAATAATAATAAATTTATGATGACAAATATGTGCACGTGTGTGATTTTACTACTGCTCAGATTAGTAGCAAATATGTTTATAAACAACATACTGATCATAGCGAAAATGAGATTGAATTTAACCAATTTAAGAATAGAGATGTACCCTGCGGAGGGACCATGCTCAAAGCACCGGTGGCTTTAGTCCCACTCCACAATCGGTGCAGGAAGATGTACGCAGTGCAGTTCCTCAAACGTCCACCGGGAAGTAGACGATCCGAGGAACAAGAAGAAGACGTCGGCAGTCACCAGAAAGAAGCGAGCAGTCGCGAAGACGCTCCCCAAAAATTTGATCGCCCGCACACCTAAGTAGATGTCACAGGCGGTTCCGGAGGCCTGCTCTCCCAACTCTTTGTGCGCGCGGAGGATTGGGACGGGGAAACTTAGAAGGCAACGCAGTAGTGAGAAGTGGAAAACACTAATTAACTATCTTAGGATTTTCCAAATTAGGAGCTTTCAATGATTGTTTTATTGTTGTTATGTTTTTTTCACAGGAGAATTAATACATATATATAGGGAGGAGAACTCCATACCTCCACATCAACTAGCAATATAGTACTAATTAACGTTGCATCTTTCTCCTCTACTCATGGACTTAAACAATAAAGCCCATTAAGAAACACATATATTGGGCCTTTGAGATTTATTAGAATTTCTTCATATCCATATAAATTCTAACAAAATAAGCTTTTCCATTGATAAAAATGGTAGAATCCAGATGACAAGCCTTCGATTAGGATTTAGGTCTTGTTCGTTTGTCTAGGATTCATAGACGGGAACTATTCCAAGCTGGAATGATTGTGTAATTTATATAACAATTATTCATCCGCTGGATCGGTTGCCGCCTCCATTCCTTAATAACCGAACGGCAACAGGGGTTCATATGGGAGTGTGGCCAGAGTTGCTTAGGATAATATACGACGAGGAACGCATTGTGAAAGCAGGCGACAGTAAAATAATTAACCGGCTGTCTCGCGCTGGTCACGAGCCATGAATAGACTAGAATGGGGTATTTTAAGACGCAATGCTGGAAAAGACAGAGAACGTGCAGTGCAGTTACATGAGAGCTTTCTGCGGCCAAGTGCTTGCGTTTTGTAGAGGCAGAAGACACAGTGGATCGGAGACAGGAATGGGTGGAATCGACATGATCACAGGAGAAAGAAGCAACGGCGGGTAGCCTAGTGCCCTAGCCAGTAGCCTGGGCGTTCGGTTCTACTGAATCAGACCTATCGGTTCTTCGGTTTTTGAAAAAGTTCGGTTGTCAGAAAACTAGTATCAATCGGTTTTTCAAAAAACATGCCGATCGGTTCTTCAAAAAACATGAAACCGATCAAGTTTGGTATCGATTCGGTTCTGTGTAGAACCGAAAAATCGAACAGTACCCAAAATCCATGTAACAGCATGTTTAATAGCAAATTTCGACAACATTTTTACAGGATTGCATACAAAACCACAGTGACAAATATAACAGTCAAACAGAGTAACAAATACATAAATAGAATGCTAACTTCTAAAGCAAAGCATCAATATTCAACAAGAGTGCAAGACACTAAGACAGCACACTACTGCACTATTTTCGGTTCCTCCGTTAGTTCGGTTAACCGAGGGGGAACCGATTTTACCAAATAAATTTGGTTCCTCGGAAATAAGAACCGAACAGGGAGCCGAGACTTCGGTTCTCGATAAATTCGGTTCGGTTGTTAGTTTTTTCGATTCGGGCCTTGTTTAGATTACAAGTTTTTTCACTCTCTCTCCATCACATCAAATCTTTGGATACATGCATGGAGTATTAAATGTAGATAAAAAAATAACTAATTACACAGTTTGATTGTAAATTACGAGACGAATCTTTTGAGCCTAGTTAGATTATGATTGGATAATAATTGCCAAATATAAATAAAAAGTGCTACAGTGTCTCGTACTGATTCATATCCCAGTCTAAACGATAAAATTTTGCCCAGGGCTACTGGCCGGGCATGGTGGCCGCAGGTCGGCATGCAGTGGTGCGCGCGGGGACAGGCACAGGCTCCCCGTTCCCGCCACGTGGTGATGCGCGCCCGCCCGGCCATGGCCATGTGCCCGCGCTGTCCTTTTCCGCTGCCGAGGTGGCTGCTAGCCTAATAGGCTGCCCGCCGCACCTACTCCTTATCCGATATGGGATGGCCCTCGCCTCCGGGACACGGCGCTCTCCAATGGCCCTCGCCGGGCGGCCGATCGAAGCGCATGCAGCCGCGAAGGACATCGGGACAGCGACACGATTAACACTAGCCTGACCAATCAGGCAGTACAGGCGTACTACAGGGCAGGAGCAGTGAGAACGGAAGGAGAGAGCGACGCCGTGCATCCATTCCCTTGCTAAAATATGGAGGCGAGGTCGGGTCAGGTACTCAGGTGGTGACCGTAAAAGGCAAGAGCGAGGTTAGTCAGCTCGCACGCTGGCACAGCAATGGCAGCATGCAATCACATGTTATAAGCCGGCTAATGCTATTTTTATCGTGAGAGAAAAACACTATCGACAGTGAAAAGCATGCCTGATACATATCCGCGTGGACAGGACCGTCTGTCTCCCGTCTCCGTCTCCTTGCTCGCGATTCCCCCAGTATAACCGGCCGGCGCACGTCCCGCGGATCGATCTCCATGACCGCAAGCTGACTCCCACCACTGACACCGTCCACCGACGACGACGACTCCGGCCCACTTGTTCGTCCTCGTCCTCGTCCAGTTCCCCCCCACCCCGCGCCTCCCGTGCGCCGAGGCCGACCACACGCCCAGCCACTGTCCCTTCCCTCGCCTACCTCCCACTGGTGACCGTGCAGCCATGGCCGTCGCGAGGCTGGTGGCCGCCCCATTCCCTCTCGCTCCGTGCCGCGTCCGGAGGCTCCGCCCGGCCTTGCCTCCCGCGCATGCGGGCCCCCGGCCGCGGCCGCTGGTCCTGGTGCTCGCGCCTCCCGCTGCGGCGGCGGCCCGGGGCGCCGTCGTGCCTTCGCGCGCGGCGCCGGAGGACGAGGCCGTGGTCGCCGGCGAGGCCGCGGACGATGGCGACGATAGAGGGGGCGCGGAGGCGGAGGCGGAGGCGGAGGCCGCGCGGGTGGCGGTGGCGGCGCGCGCGGCGCGGAAGCAGTCGGAGCGGCGGACGTACCTGGTGGCGGCGGTCATGTCCAGCCTCGGGATCACGTCCATGGCCGCCGCCGCCGTCTACTACCGCTTCGCCTGGCAAATGGAGGTACGTCGCACGTGACGAGCCGCGCCGCGCCACGTGCGCACCGATCCGTGTCCATCTGCCGTGTCGATTCCCACTCATGGATGCTATCCTGTGCTTGGTCAGGGGGGCGGCGAGATCCCGGTGACGGAGATGGTCGGCACCTTCGCGCTCTCGGTGGGCGCCGCGGTGAGTTCCCCGATTCGTCCTCGGCCACGCGGCACGCCCACCGCGGGCCGCGCCGTGTGGGCTGTTGAATCGATCGATCGATGGCGCGGCGTCCGGTGCGGACGGACATAAGAGCCAAACTGAAAAAGAAAAGCAGCAGCTAAAAACATTTCGCGTCTTGGTGGTTTGCAGGTGGGGATGGAGTTCTGGGCGCGGTGGGCGCACCGGGCGCTGTGGCACGCGTCGCTGTGGCACATGCACGAGTCCCACCACCGGCCCCGCGACGGGCCTTTCGAGCTCAACGACGTCTTCGCCATCGTCAACGCCGTCCCGGCCATGTCCCTCCTCGCCTACGGCTTCTTCAACCGGGGCCTCGTCCCGGGCCTCTGCTTCGGCGCGGTGAGTCTGAGTCCCTTCCCGGTGGTCTCTCTGCCGAGTGCCGACGATTCCTTTCCTGCCGTTGCTTTCTCGCCTCGCTCGCCCACCCGCCTGCCGCCTGCGCCTCCACCCGGAGTCGGTCAAGAAAAAACATTAGAATTTGACCCAGCAGGCTGCAGGCGTGTGGAACGTGGCGTAGTAGTACACATCATCCTCGCACCCGCGTCGCCGGCGCATCCACACATCGGCGTCCACGTCCACGGCCGGCGGCCGCCTAGTGGTGGCCTCTAGCGACATTGACGCACCGGTCAAAAAGAACACTAGCTAGGACACGGACACGAGATAAACAATACAAAAAATGAAAGAGGATTAGAGGAGTCTCTTCAAGTACGCGAGTACGCGACCCCTCGTGGCGTTTGTTTCTGCAGTTGCGTGCGATGGCAGCCAAGCTAAGCCACGTGCACGCTCGGCCCGTCGGCCGGCTCTGCTCTGGCCTAACCTGCCTAACGTGCCTCGGCGCTGCGTCGCTTGCAGGGGCTGGGCATCACGCTGTTCGGGATGGCCTACATGTTCGTGCACGACGGCCTCGTCCACCGCCGCTTCCCCGTCGGGCCCATCGAGAATGTGCCCTACTTCCGGCGTGTCGCCGCCGCCCATCAGGTCCGGTCCGGTCCGGTCGCCTTATCTTCTGCTTCTACCCCACCCCTATCATCCTGTGCTGTAACTGCCGTTTGCTCCTGCCTGCAGATACATCACATGGACAAGTTCCAGGGCGTGCCCTACGGCCTGTTCCTGGGGCCCAAGGTTAGTCTGAAGTCTGAACTGAACTGAGCTGAGCTAACCATAGCATCAGCTCGATTACGCAGATTCATTCCAAATGAACCTCTGCACAAACTTATATTAATAAATAAATCATTTGGTATTCCTGTGTCTGATTTAATCTAATTTGCAGGAGCTGAAGGAGGTGGGAGGGACTGAGGAGCTGGAGAAGGAGATCAAGAAGAGGATCAGGAGGAGGGAGGTCCTAGACGCCATCTAATAAGACCTGCTTGCTATACAATGCTCTGGCTACTGAATCCCACTGTTTTTTGCACCTTCTCCCTCTCAGGCTCGCATTAGGTCCTCTAGCATTTTGATGTAGCCTTGATGTATATACGAGTGCTAGCGTGTGTATTTGTCTTCTTTCCTGTCAATAGAAGAGCAGATCGAGGAATAATTTCGAGTTAGGTACAGGTGGATGCATTGAAGCATGTTTGGGACGGGACGGTGGAGCACACTGCCGGTGCCGTGGGTGATGCTTACCACCACCACCGCTGGCTGATGCTCATAGTGTAGCGGTCTCTAGTCTCTGTACTGTACGTATAGATTATACAGTAACATTCGTGCTTGCTGACAGTGGCCCCTCATTTTTCTATTATCGTTCGAAGAAGGTGGCGTTATATTTTCCTCGCTGCATGTACTGAAAAACTATTCCTCGTTACTGCAACGTTTTCTGAATTCTGACACTATGCGATTACGGTTTACACGAATCGACAGCTGCGGCCCCTGCACTGCGAGCATCTCATGTGTTCATCTAACAACACAGGGTTCCATTAGGAATCATGCTGATGGATTGACAGTGCTTGCTGCCATTAACACTGTAAACGACCAGGTTGTACCGGACCTTGTACAGTGAGCTGAGGGTCTCCACAGGCGACCAGGACCAGCGTCGTCGTGGCGCTGCTTGTCGTCGCCGGAACAGTGCCCGTGCTGCTGCCGGCTGCCGCCAGTCGCTGGTGCAGCAGGACATGTGGGGGCTCTGCCTGAACTGACAACTGAAGCGTGAAGCCACACACAGTTGGCCGTTGGGACTTGGCCGGCTGCCCGGCTGGGGACCTTCCGAATCAGGTTCCGGCGATTGGCTCGTTTAACAAACTGGACGCCGCCGGACGCGACATGCATGTGCATGTGACGACGGATCCTCCTCGTGATACTGTTTCGCTTTTTCGATGCCGATGAACGTGGGACGAGATCTCTCGTCCATCTAATCGCAGGCGCTGTCAGAGTCTGCGGCGGCGGATTGTCGGTCCACCTGGCGTGCTCGGCGCAGGCGCAGAGAGTTCAGAGTTGCGTTGAGGTCCTCTTAATGAGGTCATGTTAGTAATTAGTAATGCAAAGTACAACTCGTGTATTATATATAGGAAAACTAAAGATCCAATCTAAAATCTCAATCCAAGTCAAACTGGGCCTCATTGTGGTACTAATAATGCTGTTTCGAGTTAATCCTAAGCGTAGGAGGCAAGCCAAACTGGGCCTCATTGTCCTGTTATAAACTTTGCTATAGGCCCATTAAGGAATTGCTGAAGTTATCTTCTTATTGATCGTAATGTTTGGCAATGGGCATCTCCTCTTCCGTTGCAGGAGAAACGTCATGCGTTCCCGACAACAGATAAATGGTCTGTACAAACAAGAAGATGCAAAAAGAAGGTGTCATCAGAAGGAGGTAAGCAAAACTCAGTCTCTCTCACAAAAGATGGGGCTAAAGCAGGCGGGAGAGGAGCAGCGACGAAGTTGGTACCATGGAGGGCGCCACCGCCACAATCATGGACGACGGCACAGGAGCTAAGACATGTCAGTATGTCACACATCACGCATTGCTTGACCACTGGATGCTAACGATGCAATTAATTTTACGGTAAGCGCTGAATTCTTGAAACGGTACATCACACATCCATCAGAATTGAACTGATTTGACTACTACAAGCAGCAGTGCTGTCGATGACATGTATATATTTTTTTAATTCAAGTTTCGTTTAGACTACTGCAGCGATGCTGTCGATGGATGACATCCATTCTGTAGATGATATGAAAACAAAAGTGAACTATAAAGAGGTCATGTTCAGGAGGCAAGGATGTGGGATGGGAGAGTGAGGGTAGTAGAGGGAAGATCGATCATACCATTCATTTGGACTATGTTTTCTTATCCCTATCCATGCTGCTTTTAAACATATACAGTACAAACTGTATCTACTCAAAACAAACTTAAAATATTATATTATTATATATATAAATGTTACTAAATTTGAAATTTTATAATCAAGTGATTGAATATTTCTTTCTTCATATGTTTTTAAAGTAATAAATATAAATAAATAATAATTAAAAAAAGCCAAATAAAGCTTTCAACATTTAATTTTGATTTGTTTGTGGTGCGTCAGGACCAAGCAATAGTGCAACGCTAGGGCGACGCATGAGAACTTTGATACCAAGCTACCATATTAAATTCTCTCCCATAAAAAATATCATTGTGGGCACATGTCTCACATATCAGATATTATATTAAATTGATAAAAACAAATACTACACTTGATCTTAGCCGAAAGCCCGAGAAAGGTATGGGTTACCATGTAGCTATGTCCTTTCTTTTGTACACGCCTCACCAGCTCTATTTCTTTCACCGCGCGGTGTGGTGCAACTCCTCAGCTCAATAGCGGATGTTAATCGCAATCCGAGGTTCGTTATTAACAAAACAAGGCCGTATTATGATGTTAGGCTTAATGTTCCATTGAGCAATCTTGGCCTGGGCTTGATGGACCTTGGCATTCTCTGTCTGTTCAATGGGCCCAAATCCAGAACACACGGCTAACGAAGGCCCAGCCTAGAACCACTGGATTGGCTACGGGATAACTAACAATTTATACTAAAAACACACGGATCGCACGATAAGATAACAATACTATAAAAATTAAATACCAACGTTAAAGTGACATTTAATCCAAAAAATAAAGTTTATGAATTTTACACAGTCACGGAGTACGCGGCGTCGCAGGCTCACAAACTCTACTTTATAGACCTTTCCGTGATGCGGCTAAGATAATGTTTTATATTGGCAGGAAGAAATCTCCGATATCCATTTCTTTCATTGTAATCCATTTATCTAGACAATGTTTGAGGTGAGGGCACGATTACAGTTTTTAGTAGCTTTGCGATATTGTCCAAAGCTATGAGATGATTGATGTCTTGCAATGATCCTTTCATTAATTTAGTTTTCTATCTATCTTTAATTGTTTATTCAGTCTATTTTATATGCACGCCGGTAGATAATGGATGAAAAAATTCAAGCATCCATAATTTATCTCTTTGACTTTGAGCATGAGTTTTGTTTTTATTTTTTAATTGATATATTGCCCTTTTGTTTTTACCGTAGCGTTAGCACGGGCATGCATGAAAAACGAAGATGTCTTTGCACTGCAGAAATCTTTCAAGAAGATCATGCATAGATTATTCTTGTATTGAATATTATATATATACAATCACCTAAATATTCTAATTAAACTACAAAATTTTAAATTAGGATACGATGTAAGACATGTAAACAGATATTTCAAAACTACTTGTAGAGTCCAAAGAACTTAATAAATAAATCCTTCTGTAGGCAATGCAAATTCTGTCTAATCTTTTATTTGGTGTAGTTAGTGTTATCATAGTACCCGCATGTATTCATGGGAAATGAATCGTGGACAAAACGTGGACACTTTTTGGAGCGACATTCCAACATAGATCCATCGTCCTGCCAATATCATTGAGGAAGATCACATAAAGGATGAGAGTCCCTCTATGAGATTGCTCACAAGAGACTCGAACTTATATCTGATCATGGTAATGTTGAATTGCTTTGCATCAAAAGCATCGGCAATGATAAAACGGGGACATAGGTTTTAGTATGCATAGTGGAGGAAAACTCAGCCTTAGCCTTCTCAGCAGCTTTTCTGAGCCTTTGCAGTGCTAACTTGTCCTTACTTAGATAGTCAAGAGGTGCAAAGAAGTTTCTTTTGTCTTAATTCTCTTTCTTTCTGTATTAATTCTTTTTCCTTTTGCTCGTTGCCATGTATGCTGGTGCATGCAAATATGCAATGTGTATATGAATAACACAATAATTTTCTACTTTCTATTTTACCGTGATTTCTCTATCATATGACAGGCAATATTTAATCAAGGAGAATGGCACGATCAATCAGTAATTAAGATATCGTGGGATCGTTGGCGTGGACAGACGGACGAACCAAAACAAATGTCCACACTTTGTTCTTTTTAGTTGCCAAACATCTAAATACCATCCAATGTAATAAAAAAATTAGCAAGCCAAAAATTCAGTGGCCATAAAAAAAGTTGACAAGAGAAAAGTATCTAATATATTTTACCAGTAAAGTATCTAACGTTGGTACACCAAGCTCATGAATTGAGACTATCAGTAAATAAATAAGACTCGAGCTACTTAAAACGAGATTGGTACAGACAAAGGGCTAACTATGCTAAAAATCAACGGCATCCAATATGCAGGCACACAACATCAAAAAAATAGATGATTAACTATATAACAAGAACGTTTGCAGCATCATGAACTATGGTTGTATAGCATCATAAACGGCGAGCGATGGAGGACGGGCAACGTCAATCGGTCTACATATGCAAAGACGATGGCTCGGGTGCATGACTCAGGTGGCGTCGAGGTAGCGGCGCGGTAGCCGAGGACGATGGCTTGGGTGCATGGCACGAGCGAACGACGAGGACTACGGCGCGGACGTCGTGGAGGTGGCGGTGTTTCTAGGAGGACGATGCGGGCGAACGGCGAGGACGACGGCGCGACGTCGTGGAGGCAGCAGTGTACGTGGCGCACGGGGAGGATAACGGCGCGGACGCACAGACCGGACGATGGAGCAGATCGTGGAGGGGAGATCGCACGGGGAGGTGATCTTGCGGCGATCGATGATGTAGCCACAGGTGCATCCACTGGTAGGCAGATGGTGGACGATCCATTGATATTGCTTCTCCACTACACGACGAGGAAGAAGTAGGGGCGGCTCGATCGTGCAGGGGCTTGAGGAATGGGGCACGCGACGATCGTCTCCGTGCAGTGACCAGCGACGCGCTTGAGTCCTACCAAGAAGACGCGTTCGATCGTGCAGCGACAAGCGACGATGGTCTTCCGTGTTTGTAGCGCATGCAAATCAGAGTCAAGAATTTCATATTTGTGGCACGAGGGCGGTATGATCGAGCGTGAGACGTGGGTGATCGCTTTCCTTGTTTGAGGCAATTAGGGTCAAGACTTTCTGTGTCTGTAGCGCATGCAAATCAGGGTCAAGACTTTCCGTATTTGTAGTGCATGCAAATTAGGGTCAAAGACATTTCGTGTTTTCTTTGCACCAAAGGACACAACATACATAAGATGTCGTGGGATCGCAGACGTGGACAGACGAACGACGAACGAACCAAAATAAATATCGCACCAAAAAAATATCGACACTTTGTTCTTTTTTATTGTAGGAGATTTGTTTGTGGTGCGTCAGGACCAAGCAATAGTGCAACGCATGAGAACTTTGATAGCAAGTTACCATATTAAATTCTCTCCCACAAAAAATATAATTAATATCATTATGGGCACGTGTCCCACGCATATCAGATATTATATTAAATAAATTAAACTGATAATAACAAATACTACACTTGTTCTTAGCCGGAAGCCCGAGAAAGGTATGGGTTACCATGTAGCTATGTCCTTTCTTTTGTACACGCCTCACCAGCTCTATTTCTGTCACCGCGCGGTGTGGTGCAACTCCTCAGCTCAATAGCGGATGTTAATCGCAATCCGAGGTTCGTTATTAACAAAACAAGGCCGTATTATGATGTTAGGCTTAATGTTCCATTGAGCAATCTTGGCCTGGGCTTGATGGGCCTTGGCATTCTCTGTCTGTTCAATGGGCCCAAATCCAGAACACACGGCTAACGAAGGCCCAGCCTAGAACCACTGGATTGGCTAGCGGCACAGCGACGCCTTATCCAGCAACCGTCTTCCTCATCCATGGCATAAGCCGCGCCCGCGTCGCTCGGCTCCGTCCGCCTCCGCGTACCCCGCTCCAATGGCAGCCACGGCTGTGACCCTGCCCTCCTCGGGCACGCCCTTCCCCGTCGCTACAACCGCTTCTTCCTCCTCCGCCCGCCGCTGCCTGCTCCTGCCCTCCGCGCCTCCTCGTCGAGCTCTCCGCGTCGTCGCCTCCGCCGCGACCGAGGCGCCGCCCAAGGCCACGCCGCCGCCGACCTCGCCCTCCGGCATCGTGCTCGTGGACCCATCCGAGGCCCAGAGGGTGCACAGGCTCAAGGCCGTCTACGACCAGAAGGTTGTGCCGCTCATTACCGAGGAGTTCGGCTACACCAATGTCCACCAGGTGCTCGACCCTGCTCCTCGCCGCAGAAAAGGCTTGCCATTTCTCCTCGTAGCTAGGCTAATTCGTTGGCGTGGTTGGATTTTGACTTTTGAGGTGTGCGGTTGGTTCGAACGACTAGGTTCCCAAGATCGAGAAGATTGTGGTGAACTCCGGGCTGGGTGCGGATGCAGGGAACTCCAAGGGGCTGGAGGCCGCCATGAAGGACCTCGCCATGATCACCGGGCAGTGGCCCGTCAAGACCAAGGCCAGGAAGTCCGTGGCCAGCTTCAAGATCCGTGAGGGAAACACTATCGGTATCGCAGTCACCCTCCGCGGCAGGGTGAGCCCCATTCCATTGTTCATTTGGCCTCCTCAAAGTTCATACTTTATACATTCAAAGTTGACAGACAGCTTGGTGCCTTGGTGTATGAAACTAGAATTTCGTGGCAGTTTGGAATGATGCATTCTAGTATATAATCTGCTATACAAGTGGAAATTGTGAGCTTGTTTGATTGTTGTAGGCTTAATTTTTTGTCCTTGGCTGTAGATAATGTACAACTTCCTGGATAGGCTCATCAACCTCGGGCTCCCTAGGACCATGGACTTCCTGGGTGTCAACCCCAACAGCTTCGACGGGCACGGCAACTACAGCATGGGCCTCCGTGATCAGGGCGTGTTCCCAGAGATCCCGTACGAGGTGGGCGGGAAGAAGAACGGCATGGACGTGTCCATTGTCACCAGCGCCAAGACGGACAACGAGGCCTTCAGACTGCTCACCCTCCTCGGCATGCCATTCTCGGAGAACATCAAGGCGGACGTGGTGATCCGGAAGAAGAGGTTGAAGCGCCACCACTTCTTGAGCAAGGGCAAGGGCAAGGGAGGAAGACGGTGAGGAGAGGAACCAACCAGCCAGCCATGTTTGCACACACTCTGCTCAGCTTGTTAATTGTCATCTTTTTTGCGGAATTTGGCTTACAAATTCGATGTTGTTGTTGTCTTCCAATTATGTAACTTGTGTACTTAAAAGGTCAGAAGATGGAATGGAAAAAAAGGCTCAGCTTTGGTCATGTGCGTTTTGCTGATTTCTTCTTGATGCATAATATGTAGTAGTCACGGGTATACCGCTGCCAAACATTGTAATTGGTGGAAGCAGTAATGTGAAATGGATTAAAGGCACACGTATTTCAGCTGCATTTCTCAAACTGCTTGTCTAGACTATCACTGAACTATATGATCTCTTTCGGCATCCCGGCCTCAGTAGCTACACTTTGGCAGCTCCGGTGGGCCGATCACGAGCTCTTCCTCAGGGAAGGCGCACGGCTTGCCCTCCGCGCCGAGCTCCGGGCACGGCTTGGGCGAGACGTCGGAGGTGACCCCCTTGACGTTGGTGCAGTTCCACTGCAGCTCCATGGCGCCCGGCGCGAGGCGGGCGGTGACGTTGGATATGCAGATCCCGGTGTAGGGGTCGTTGGGGATGCCCTCCATCCTGCCGGCCATGGTCACGTTCTCGGCGAACACGTCACTGTAGTTGATGCCGGTGACCTCGGGCATGGCGTTGGGGTTGGACGTGTTGTCTGGGTGCTGCCCGTAGTTGCCGGTCATCCAGAAAACCCACTTCATGGTGTGGAGGCTGAGGCCGCGCACGAAGATGTCCCTGACGAAGCCGCCCCTCCCCGCGCCGGACTTGACCCTGACGGCCGACTCCGTGTTGATGGCGACGCTGTCCTCGGCGCGCACGTCGCGGATGCCGCCAGACATCTCGCTGCCGAGCGCGATCATGGCGCTCGTGGGGGAGATGCAGGTCAGCCTCCTTATGACGATGTGCTGGCTCGGCATGTTGAACCTGATGCCGTACTCGTCCCACCCACTCTTCACGGCGACACAGTCGTCGCCGGAGACGATGTAGCAGTCCTCGATCTTGACTTGTGAGGAAGAATCTGCACAGGCGATGAAACATCACACGGCACTCAGAATCAGAAACAGATGCTTCTCACTTCTCAGTGTCATCAAAGGAACATAGCTGAAAGCTAACTGATCATCTACCTGGGTCAATTCCATCGGTGTTAGGCGAATTCAGCGGCGCAAGAATGGTGACGCCACTGATGGTCACATTGCTGCGCAAAACAGTGGCATGGCAGGTGAGATTCACCGCTGAAACATTTTTCAGAAACCACCACTGGAACAAATGAACAATGACTTGAGACTTTCAGAGTTGAGAGCCATACGTGCAATAGGTAGGGTGGAGGTTCCAGTATGGCGCGTTGATGAAGGTGACATTGGAGATGATGATGTTATTAGAGTGGAGGAGCTCTAGGAGGTGGCCGCGGGTGGACTTGAGCTCCTTGGCATGGAACTTGTCCCACCAGACTTGCCCCTGCCCGTTGATTGTTCCATTTTTACCTGAAATTTGTGCAGTTCATCAAATTTCTGCAGCTACCACCTGATCTTGTCTTCTTGGATATAGAAGGTAGAGGCATATGTACTGTACCTGTGATGATGACGTCAGTGAGATTGGATCCTCCAATGAAATTGATGTACCTTGGGCCAGGCTCGTCCCTTCCCCTCCCGTAAGAGGGCAGGGGAGCTATGAGGGGCCAATGGTTCATGTCCTGAACAAGATAGATGAACAGCATAGGGATCAGTGGACGGATGCAAATGGTGCAAACAATAGCAAACAAATTTAACCAGCATGTCTGCTCTATAGTGAAACTACCATTTTTTCAAAAAGAAAAGAGAGAGAGAGAGAGAGGGGGAAGGAAACAGTTGTCTCTTCCTTTCGGTGGCAAGACCTCGAGACAGATCATATCAAAACTACTCGACATGTTGACAAATGGTCGTTCATATTTTTTTTTGCGACCATGCCTAAGCATGTTTTCATTAAGAGGAAAAGAGGATTACAACACATGAACTTAGTAAGCCAAGGCTGTACTACAAGCATTCAATAGCCAATTAGGCAACAGCTTCTCTGTTGTCCGTTCAGTGTTGCAACCACTGCCAAGTACAAAGTCGGGTGTCAATCAAAACCAGCCGAGTCCTTTGGATACATATTTAAGAGCCACCTTTGGTAGACAAAAAGTAATTACTACTCCTATAATTTGTTTTCTTAAAGAGGTAGTAATTAGTTTTTGTGTACTAAACTCCAAACTTGCGACTGTTTTGGATTATTGATCAATGCTGCACCAGCACCATGAAAGTTTCTATTGCCCTTCTTACGTTACTCAGACTACATTAACTTCAGTAAAGACAGAACAAAATTTCCCATTCGTTTTTCCAGAATATATATGTAATATTCAGGTCTTGGTGAAACGTTTTGGATTCTCAATACATGATACACCACAAACAAACATTTCCATTTCCATGCCTTCTATGCAGATCTGCAGGCTATGCACTCTGCCAAACCAACGCAGATGCAGTGACGCCTTGTTTAGTTCCACCCAACTTCCAAAAGGTTGCTACAGTACCTGTTACATCGAATGTTTGCGGTCCGTGCATGGAGCATTAAATGTAGACGAAAAGAAAAACTAATTGCACAGTTTGGTGGAAAATTGCGAGACGAACGTTTTGAGCCTAATTAATCCATGTTTAAACACTATTTGCCAAATAAAAATGAAGGTGCTACAGTAGCCCCAAAATCCAAATTTCGTGAACTAAACGAGGGCTGACAGTGATGTTCACCAGTCACCAAAACCATGCAAAAGACCCAGAGAGGAATCATGGAATGGAACCATGGCATTCATCACGGAAATTCAAGAGCACAAGGACACTCTGGGGTGCATGTCATGTGCATAGCCCCATAGGGGTATGGCAGATTGCCAGTGGCTTGCTTGGAAAAGACGGGTTCAGGACTTCAGGGTCCCCCAGGGCAAAAGCCACTGTCCCTAGCGAAAAAGAGACCGGCCTACGCAAACGGGACGTGCCCCGTGATGAACTGAGGCCATGTTTATTTGTGAGCGGCGTTCGAGGGACCCACATGTCGTACTAAACTACCGCATGGTCACGGGCCCCTAATGCGCCATTACGAGGGCGGTTCCTCGGCTAAGCGCGGCGGCGTAACCACGGCAGGGGAAGGGCGGCCGGCGCCGCGAGCGAAATGGCAGGAGGAGGATGGGGTTGGGTTGGGGGCCTTTTCATCACTCACCTGGGACGCGAGGATCTCGGCGCCCTCGTCGAGGTACAGGGTGAAGCAGCTGGTGAGGTTGAAGGGCCCTGTGAGCCACTTCCCGGCGGCACCACCAGCGCTGCGCCGCCGTCGCGCGCGCGCCGCGAAAGGTCCGCCACCGCCCTGGCGAACGCCGCCGTGTTGAGCGTCCTCCCGTCCCCCACCGCGCCGTACTCCGTGACCTTTGCCACGTGCTTCCGGCACCCTGGCCCCCCGGACGCGCCGACTGCGCGCGCGCACGACGCCGCCAGCAGAAGCAGCGACGCCGCCCGCAGAACCACCGCCACCGCCTGCAAAGAGAACCAACACGTACGAATGCCGCTTGATCAGTGACTGACCAAACTAACCCACCCCCAAATAAGACATCAAGGCTGCTGATCCATCATCGAAGAAACAGGGCGGGGGAGGGAATTATTACATACAGGGCGAAGAGATCTTCCCGGTGCCATCGCGCGCGCTTCTCTTCTCCCCCGACGCCGAGCGAATTAGGTGGCCATTGCGGAAGCGGTGGAGCCTGCTTATAGCGAGCCGAGGAGGAGGCCGAAACCGGCGGAGAGAATTACGGATTTGCCCCTGCTTCCATAAATCCCACGGCCACAAACGTGGCAAGTGCTGATGAAACGGCAGCGCGCGTGGGCCCGGATTCGGTGCGAGCTCACCGTGGTGGACGCCGACCGGCGTCTGGCTCACAGACCTATGGACCTGTTGCACGGAGGCTCATACGGCACGGATTGATGTCGCGGCGGATCACGGCCTCGTGATGAGTTGCCTTGCAAGGGCAAGTGACGGAAGGAGGATGGGGAGGGAGCAGGAGATGGCGCGCGTGAGGAAAGTGAGGAGTGCAAGCAATCTTGTGAGATGTTTTGGGATTTTTTGGTCGCTCTTTCAGTGTGATGAACTGACGATATCTTGCCGCTTTTTGCTTGCGCAATTCAGTGAAAATAATTTGAGCACTTGCCGTGTATGGCGGTGTAGGGTGTGGGGAACCGATCGGGATTCGTTGCATGCGCCGTGATCTATTTGAGTGAGTATATTGTTAAAATTTAAAACTCCAAAATACTGACCTCAAATATAGTCTATGGCTAGATGACACACTAAACTGTCATTTACTTTAGTTTACTCCCCTTAATTATTTTAGTTGATCTAATTTATCACTCAACAAGATTTATCTTTTTTCTACACATTCAAGTTGATTTTTAATTTCAAATTTTATGAGGGGATAACTAGCACCATATCTTACGTTCAAACATATGTCATAAATTTGTGTCATTATTTTGACTTGTTATTAGGAGATATAATATAAATTAACACTAGAAATACAAAACTATTTTGTTTTTCCCTATTTCCTTTTACTTCGTCAACAAGAGCAGCTAATAATTTAATAATATATAAATTGTAGGAAACTTGTGTGAAGGAGAAATTTTCAAAATTACACCAAGTGTGGTATCTACGATGTTGATATTTTCTTTTTGTGTTGTAACCAAATATGGTGCCTTTAGTGAAGGAGACATTTTCAAAAGAGACATATGAGTTTGCTTGTAATTTGTTTTTCAAAATTATACTTAACAAAATTGGCTGTAGCAGGTGTTCGACAACATTTGTAGCATCAGGCAGCGGCGAATCTAGACTAAACTGCTGCTGGGGTCGCACAGATTCATGAACTCAATTTGATGGGTCGTAGCTGGCCGGAATACGCGGGGTTCCACTGATTCGTACAAAGTTATCGGGGTCGCATGACCCCGACAACTTTGCACTGGCTTCGCCGCTGGCATCAGGCACGTCGACGCGACGGTGGATTCGTGCCACAAGCTAGGGCCCACGCATGCCACGCTGGCCGCCGGGCCACGGGAATGCCACGGTGACAGTCCTGCCGCACCGGTGTGGTGGTGCATCATCATGTGACATGGCAAGATTCAAATAAAATATCTTTCTGAAAAGAATGAAAAATAAAAAAGAAATCACTATCGACGAGATGCAATTCACTGTCGACAAAATGCGGACCGCATCTGGGCCTAGACCAGATCTTTCTGGGCCAGTCCAAAGTCCAAACTAATCCGACATAGGACCATGGAGGCCAGACGCAACAGGGACGGATGGTTCGACAGCAGGCAACAGCTGAACAGTCGCAGGTTGTCGACTCTCCTAGGTCCTCGCTGGGCCCATAGGTCATCTTCTTCCTTCCCCGTCTTCAGCCGAACGTGCAGTCGCAGTCGGCGGCTCCTACAGGGACGCGACGAGCAGCGTGATGGACGACCCTCGCGAGAGTGGCGAGCAGCGTGTCTAGCGACGCTCACGAGCTAGGGTAGCGGTGAAAGGTCCTAATGGCTAGAGGGGGGTGAATAGCCTATAAAAAATTCTACAACAACACTACACAAAGCGGTTAGACAAATATAAGGCGAAGCGAATGTTGCGCTAGTCTACTAAAAATGCAAGCCACCTACCACAATTCTAGTTGCTATTGTCTATAATCACTCAAAGGCTATATCACTATACCAAATTAGTGAGCTCTCAAAGACTAACTAAAGAGTCTCACTAACCACTAGATACGACTCTTGCTTGCCCTCAAAACTAGCTATACTAAAGGGACAAGCTACACTAAGAAATGTAAATGTGCGGGAAAGATGGAGTGTTATACCGCCGTATAGAGGAATGAGCCAATCACCAAAGGAGCTAATCGATCACAAGAATGAATACCAATGAAGACCAATCACCTCGGAATCAAATGATCACACAATGATTTTTACCGATGTTCACTTGCTTGCCGACAAGCTAGTCCTCGTTGTGGCGATTCACTCACTTGGAGGTTCACGCACTAATTGGCATCATATGTCAAACCCTCAATAGGGTGCCGCACAACCAACATAAGATGAGGATCACACAAGCCACGCGCAATCCACTAGAGTTGCCTTTCATGATCTCCCACGGGGAAGACACAAGAACCCCTCACAATGTCGACGATCGGAGCCGGCAACAATCACTAATAGCCGCTCAACGATCCACCAATAACCAGGCCGTCTAGGTGTCGGAAAACACCAAAAGTAACAAGAACTCCATCAGCCCAAATCGCCAACTAGTGCCACAAGATGTTAGAACACTAAGCAATGACTAGTGGCTCTCCAATCTCACTCAAGATGATGAAATCAAGTGTGCAAGTGAGTGGAGTGGTGTGCTCAGCTCTCAAAGGGTGTATGCAGCTGTCAGAAATGCCAAGAGAGTGGCCAAGGCCGGACACTAGCTTTATTTATAAGCCCACAAGCAAATAGAGTCGTTACCCCTTTGAAGTAGTTTTCTACGAGGGCACCGGACACAGCGGTGTCTGGCACCGGACATAGCGGTGCTCCTCCCAACGGTCACTTTCCACCGGCTCAAAACTAGTCTTTGGGGCACCGGACAAGGTGGTGGTGGCACCGCCCCTAGGGTGGCGGTGACCACCCGGTCATCGGCCCGAATACCCTTTCTCTGGATTTTTTTGGCGGTGCACCGCCCTTAGGGCGGCGGTGCCCGAGGCGGTGACCAACCCCATTTCGCCAGTCTTTGGAAGAAAATGGCAGTGGCACCGCCCTCCTCGCAACGATGACCGGGCGGCGGTGCACACCGGACACACCGGTGCCCGCTTCACTTCTCCTAAGTCTTGGCCATGTCCAGGTGGGCACCGCCCCAGGGGTAAACCAACTACTAAATCATGTCACGGGCATCATGTTTGTGTAATAATGCATGTGATAGAACATGTTGATAAATTTCTTATAGCCTAAAATAACCAATAAAAATATTAAATTAATGTTGATTCAATAGCTCAGGTGTATCAAGTAGGGTTAAAAATTAATTTTATTAAGCAAAAATACTATAGAACATGTGTGTGATACTTAAATAAAGTTGGAAATACAAACTTTGTAGATGACAATGCAACTTTAACTTTTGGAAAATAGATGTTGTTAACTAGTGTTTTGGAAGCTCAAAATCAAATTTGACGTTAAGATAAGCTCTTTTTGTTAAGTCGACAACACTTGAACTATTGTGTAAAATACCACTTTTGGTGAATTATATTGAGCAAGCTAGTTAAATGGTGTTTAAATATTTTGTCCCTACGGGTTAGTATAAGGTATGGACTATCGCATGAAATACTTGTTGGTAGCAGTTAATAGGGTTTAGGCCTTTTAAAAATTGTAACAAAAGTGTTAATGACTGTTAGTTTGAATTGAATCCTTAACTTTCCTAAGTATGGAAAAGTAGTAAGACAATGTTATTTTGGCATTTAATTTCTAACAGAAATGTTTAAACACTAGTTGCATATTTTGGTATTGTTGATTGCATCAAAGTGAGTGCTTGAGCATGGCATAGGTCGATGTTGTGTTGGATGTCACGTTGTCCGCTCTAAAATTGCCCTAATTTCACTAGAACGTGTTGTGAACCCTGATTCGGTGCTCGGTTCGCAAACCGGCGTTCAGCGTGACGAACTCATGTTGGCACCTCCCTATCTCCCTCTCCGGTTGCTCTTGGGTCAGGGCGATTGCTCCGCTAGCTAGCTAGTAGTGTCTGACTTTAGGTTAGTAGGATTGGTTGAACTTCGTTTGAGATGATCGGCATCCTTTGCTGCGCTTTAAAATTCGTGCACCACCTCACCTTGGGTTGACTGGTCCGGTGTGCGCGGTCACCGTGCTTGGGAGTATGGCGTCACGCGGGTGTACATGCGCTGTTGCACGCGTGCATTACGTGTAACCTTGCCGACGGCTGTCTCATCGCTGCTCGTGCTGTGCGTTGGGCCGAGCGGGTCGTGGCCACCTCGTGTCGGGCCGACCAAGCCGTGCCTTGGTTCACGTGCTCACGAGGGCTGCGCCGCACCACTATGCTGTGCTGATGTGCTGCCACTACGCTGTGCCAGTGTAGCCGCTGCGCAGCCACGCTGCGAGGCGCCATCGCAGTGCGGTTATCACATGTCCGCTGAGCCGCGCGTGGGGCCAAGCCGACGTCATGGCAGCCTTTGTCTCACCGACGTGGTGCTGTGTCCACCGCTCAAATCACCTACCCATCGAGCCGCTGCCTGCCTCTGTAGTCACGTCACACTAATGCACGTGTCGCGGTGTCACTGCCCTCCCTCACGTCGTCTTGTTGCACTGGCCCTACGAGACGGTCCTACGCGCTACCGTTGTTCCACTGCCATCGTCGGAGCCCTGCCAAGACCGAGCGGTCCTATCTCGGCACCTCATGGCATGCTCCCTCCGAGCCTCACCGTGTGGATCCTCTCGCTCATTTAACACAGCTTTGGTCGAGGTTGTCTGAGCCTGGAAGCCGCTGCCCCGTCTGCCTTGCCGCCAACGGAGCCACGTCGCTTCACAAGCTAATACGTGCGGTTCAGGACACCACACCTCAATTTAGCGTTTCAGTAGTTAGGCAAGAAAGCCAGCTAGTGGCCCGACCCTCACTTTGGCGCAACTGAGCACTACTGGCCGCC